ATACATTATGATGTGATATGAATGATAATGGGACATATCGATGTCTGCACTCCGTGCCGCGGACTGTAGGCTACGTAATGTTACTTTGATCCGGTTACTTATGTTGTGGCAGATATTTAATTAAGCTTTCTTAACATAATAGTTAAAATAGTCAGATTGCTGTGAAAATGGGAGGTGATGTTCAATTCATTTTCACACAGTCGGTGATTTTGGCCGATCGTCTTTCCTGCAACGGCAGTTTAAACTGTATTTCCTCCGCACACTGAGCTCTGATTGGTCAGCAGGCATGGTGCTATCGCTGAGTTGATCTCTTATCCTGGAACCTATCCTGCTTCGGGGCACAGACTAGGTTCCAGGATAAGTCACCATGGAGATCTAGCCCGCTAAAAAGTGAACCAGCTCCGTAGTACCGGAAATCCCAGAAGTTATCTTACTAAACGAAAATCCTGCTTCGTAGTATACCCCCCAGGTCCTGACCAGGTTAGCCGCAAAGCATAAGTTACCATGGAGATCTAGCCTGCTAAAAAGAGAACCAGCTTCGTAGGACCAGAAACCCAGAGTTTTCCCTGAAGTTAGCCGGCTAAGCGAAAATCCTGCTTCGTAGTATACCCCCCAGAAGTGTCTGTTTCAGGCTCACTTTGGCATCTTCAAAATCTGGATTCATCTTCAATACTTGTTGGAAGTCACTCTTGGCGTCATCGAAAAAACCTATAAGACATTAAAAATGTTCATAGATAAATGTCATGATATGTAATGTACTGCCAAACTAGCTCATTAAGAGTCAGCAGTGTTATGTTCTGGGCATCATGAGAACAAGCGAGTTAAAAGAAGAACATACCGACTGACTCAAACACACACATTAACCCATCTAATGCTGGGACCGCACCACAACACAGTTAATGACAGATGTTATAGATCTATATTAAAAGAGAGCTGGTTGACTTCTCAAGAAAGAGTCACTGCCACAAGGTATTCTGCTAAAACAACCTAGGAAGCTTGTGGAAAGGCTATTAAAAGAAAGCTTAGTTTCTATAGTTCACTGAGCCAGCGCTGTGCTTTTTTGATTGATCATTTTACCAATCTATGTAACTACTGTATACCACAATGTGACTCCAAATCAATCCAGCATTGGATTAATACACCTCTTTTTTTATAGGATTTTAGTGATTCTATTTTATTTTGTTTCCTTTCTAGCATCATGTGAAGCATTGTCCCCCCAAAGCAAACCAGAGGCCTGTAGGCCTACTACGAAGCTGGTTCAACCTAACCTGGATATGTTTGAGTTAGCCGGTTGGCCTAATCCAAAAAATACGCACTCTCGCTAAACTGTACTACGAAGCGGGTTATCAAGTGGATCGCTCAAGCCAGCCGTGTCCTATCTAGTTAGGTGCGCGTTCACATGAAAGGAGTGGTATTTGGAGCATTCGACCAATCACAAACATGGAGAAGCTCACTGACAGCGCAGCGCGTCATTCTTCCTGAATGAAAAGTGAACTTTAATATTAGACATATGAAGAAGTTAAACTTTAAACATCCATGACTTAAACACTTTATCCAGGATCAAAGCCACATAGCTGCACCTGCAAGGTGAATACAGCTGGTAACAGAAAAAGCGTTTGAATGCGTACCCTACATTAACAGGTTTATGATATCACTGCCCCGTCTAAGACACGAGTGGATCTGACTTTAATTACATTTGACTCGAGTGTTTCGTCAACTTAATGTGTTGCTTAAAATAATACTTCTGCATACAGTATGTGACACTGTGAGTGTTGCACGGATACGGCTCAGCTGACTCAGATAAGGAAATATATGATACATTATGATGTGATATGCCGCGGACTGTACTGTTACTTTGATCCGGTTACTTATGTTGTGGCAGATATTTAATTAAGCTTTCTTAATGCTAATGTTATAATAGTCAGATTGCTCTGAAGATGGGAGGTGATATTCTATTAATGTTCACGTTCACACAGTCGGTGATTTTTGCCGGCCGTCTTTCCTGCAACGGCAGTTTTTCTGTATTTCCTTTCTCCTGTAATATGACTTGATCGCTTTAAACTCCGCACACTGAGCTCTGATTGGTCAGCAGGCGGTGCTTTCACTGAGTTGATCTCTTAGCCTGCAACCTAACCTGCTCCGGGGCAGGTTAGACGCTCAGCATAAGTTACCATGGAGATCTGGGTTGCGGTCGGATAGTTTAAAAATCAGCTCCTAGAAGAGACTGCGGTACTTTAGAGAATCCGAATGCACTTTCACTATCCGACGTGTTTATGATGCGCCAGCGGACATCATTTTGTGCGTCTGCTGCTGTGGGGAAACTGTGAGGGAATAATTTTGTCTTTACTCCTAGATATTTAACCTTATTGCCTGTTGACGTTAATAACCAACCAATATTCTGTTCTCTCCTTTAAGGAATGTGCTCCAGCACTTAAGTGTCAGTTTTATGGCCTGATAGGGGGGTTTACGACTGTGAGAATGCTGGCTTCTAAACACCACTGACAAATGATTGAGTATTTCTAGTTGGGGGATATCTCCTGTAGCTCCACAGATGTTTACGCCTCCCCCAATATGCTGATTAACTCTCTGTAAACTAGTTAAAAGGTCTATCGAGAGAGAGGCTGGGCAGAATTGACATGACAACCCACCCGTGCAGTCAGAACCTTTTGCTGCTGTGACTTGTGATATGAATTCTCCGGCCGTTGACTTGTAATAAACTACCAGTGTTTGACATCAAAGCTCCAACTCTCCTCGTGTCTCTCTGAGTCCTGACTCTCCATTGCTCCAGAAGTTTCCCTTACAGAAACTACAGTTTTCTATACAGCGGACTACAACATGGATGTTTAATATAACGGCGGACTCATCTAGAGACTCTGCACCTTGCTCTAATGCTGCTGCTTTGCTTTATGAACGTGGACAACAGAGAAACATATTCTTCATGACCAAAGTTGGAATTGAAATAAAAAATGAAAGTGAAACTTATGCTCGTCACCCTCTCCCTCCGGTCCACATTAATACAAATGATCCCAATACGTATGATTGTATGAACTATGAAAAGATCTTAAAATCAATACAAATGTATTTATTATAAATGTTAGTCCTTAACACCTATCACTGTGTATATCACCATTCAAACATCTTTTAAAAGTTGAACAAACCCCACACAGCTCAGTGAAATGTTGACTTTATTTGATCATTTCAGTAAAAGCTAACGTTCATATTTCTCTTTTTGATTATAACACTGATGAACGTGCAAAACAAATCACTTTGGCAACTTACCACGTTTTAAAATGCTTAATAAGCACTAACTTTCATGATATAATTTCTCCGTCATAATCGTTTGTTTCCGTGACGGCCGACTGTTGTGTGACAGCAAATGCTGCGGCTGCAAGGCATTGTGGGTCAGCATTTTCTCCTCTCTTTTCGGTTAGGGAGGTCCAGTGGTTTATAAAGGAAGTTTGAAACCTCCTTTCCTATCATTCTAGAGAATTCGAATGGCACTGAGGGACTGGCACTGAGGCACTGGCTGCCACTGAGGGACTTCCGGGTCATTTCACTCCGTTAGGAAGGTTCCTAAGCTAAATGGACTATTCGACTATTCGACTTTTAGCTAAAAAGAGAACCAGCATCGTAGGACCGGAAACCCTGAGTTTTCCCTGAAGTTAGCCGGCTAAGTGAAAATCCTGCTTCGTAGTACAGGCCTCTGATATTAATCCTACACTGGACAAATATGATATTGAAGCCAATTAACATTGCAGCCAATAAAGAAACTGCATAGTTGTCATGACAATATTCATATCAAATAGAAAAGGCAATTTAAATGTACAAAGAGGTGTGTATCCTTCTCGTCTAGTTATGTTGTACAGTGCTGCATTGATTTGGGGTCAATATGTCACATTATATGGAAGCTATTGCAAACAAAACAAAGTTGTATTTGTTGGTTTTATATTAATCTAAAAAAAAAAAGGGACTAAAATCCCCAAGAAAATAGGTTACGACAGTTAGTGAAGCAGACCTAGAAAACACAAGTGAATATCAATCCAATATCCAACCTTACAATTATTTTGAAGCAAATCGGAAGTGATTTTTTTTACTCTGTCAGGCTTGTAAATAACAGATAACTATCTCCTGTGAACTTTGGACTAAAAGGGGTCTCTGTACCCTTACCTAGTCTATAGTGGATGAGTCCTCTGTTGTAGAAAGGTGTCTCAAAGCTGCTGTCTCTGTATCGCTAAAGAGAAGTCCTCCACTGCTTCACCAAAAACCACGGTACTTTATCTGTCCGCGGTTACAACAACCTATCTGGCTTTACAATCCCCGTGGAAATATGACAGCGTTGAAAGTCTCTAAAACAATACATGTAATGAAATGACAAAGTGACAGAACACGATGGACGTTAGCGTTAACCGGGGACACAGAATTTGACGGGTAGCAGAATAAGCTGCAACACTAGTTACAGACATCGCCAAAAATTGAACAAAGAGTACCTGGATTGTAAGTAGGAGATAAACTTTGTATACAGTTGTTCTGCATATTTGAAGTTCTAGTTTTTAAACTCAGAGTGAGCATTTCCAAGTATTTGAGGGTTGTCTTGCTCCATTGGCTGTGAATTCTGTTAAGGTTTGTTGTGTTTCCTAAAGGCGGAAGTGACAACACGCCCAATCATATTTTAGTGCGTCTCAAGTAGGCGGGGCAATAACAACTTCAGAACGTCTTTCATTTAGTGCCTAAATCAACTTATCATTTTGAGTTGTTTATTATATAGGATATCATTGCTACATATGTTTATGCTTCTCTGCATTTTCTTGGAGTTATGAGGGTACTGGTTGACACAGAACCTGCTTTTATTAATATGTCACTTAAAATTGACCACAGAAGATGCAACACATTGATAAAAGCGACTATAAATAAATGTGGCTTTTTTTTTGTATTAGTTTTTTTTTATTAGTTTTTTTTTTTCAAAATACACAAGTCGTTATTGTCATCCATCAATAGAAAAGGCAGTACAGTACATTCATTGATAAAACTGTTTCCAAACAAAACAATGAACAAATGTACATAAGGTGCAAATGACAAAATGTAAACACTAGTAGAACATATTCAAAGGTTAGACAGAATAATTGCCCCAGAGGAGATCTGCCTTTGGCGTGTTGAGTCGGTGCTTCTTCGCTCTGCAAAACAAGTAAAGATTACCAACTGCACATCCAGATCGACTACATTTGTTCAGACTCGGTCACTTACCCTTTTTTACACCTGCAGGTCTTGAGTAGCTCTGACCTGGAGGATGCACACACTGGCCTCTGCAGGAACCATCTGCCTGGCTGCTTGCGTCACAAATCACTGCATCACAGTGGACATAGATCTGTGGACGGACAGGATGATTTATTACACATGGCTACATGCAGCAGTGGCTAAAAGACTCCAGATTTGGATTTACAAGTCTTACCTGGTCTTTCAGAACCTTGTCATCTTTAGTGAAAGTGAACATCTTTACAGAGAAGCGCTTGATGTGGGACGGGACTAAAACTCTGGAGTCACTCACAACGGGATGGAAAATTGTTGCATAGCTGTCATTGCGATTCTCACAGCTGGTGAAGGAATTTGAAAGTTAATAAAGCAGCAGTTAAACAAATGAAATGAGTAGTTAGTAGTTAGTTTTGCACAACATTACCTGTCCACAATGATGTCCCAGCTTGGCAGAGATGTCCTATCTTCATAAAGGGTTGCCCAACAGTTCTCAGCGATGAGTTCCAAGTGCGGATCGGTAGAATGCATCAGCTCCACCTCAAAATACAGAGGCTGCTGCAGATATTTCACCACTGGATAATCCTCTGCTTGGTAGAAGAGCTCGTAGGATGGATCTGCAGGAGAAGAGTCCCGTTAGAGAAAGGAGGCCTGGACATTTACAGTTTCATGTCACGTCAAACCTTTATTTAATCAGATCGGTCCCTTGAGATCATAGATCTCTTTTTCAAGGGAGACCTGCAAACAGTGTTTTGTATGCATGAACAAGATGTTGTAAAATTCCACCATGCCTTGGGAAAGCCTCATCTGCACCATCAGCTGCCCGGTGCCGATCTCTGCAGCGGGCTCATAGGTTCTTGGTTTAGCGCTGAAGGCAACAGTCTGAGTATCATTGACCACATAGAAGCAGGAAATGGTTTGCCTATTAGGGGAAAAATATTATATAAATGCATACATTGAAGGTGTTCATCTCCAATTATACAGAATCAAATGTTTTACCTGTATTCAGGATCAACTGGTGATGTGTTGGCTGCTCCTTTGTTGTTGTAAGACAGGCGGATCTCATTTTCATACATCATGTAGTTGTCAAAGAACTATTTAACAACAAAAATGCATTAACATTTGACAAAAAACCCTTTTGATATTTAAATGTGATTCACACTCACCGTTCTGGTGGTTCCACAGGTATCCACACTGAAGGAGAAATATGCAAAGCGATCGTCGCTGAACTGTGGTGTGCAGGACTGGTCCTTTAGCGTCAGCTGACTTGGCTTCAGATTACGAGTCGATTCAACCTTCACAGCCACAGCGGTCATTGTGCCATTGGGGTGGCACTCTGGAGGAAGAAGCAGGCAATGTGTAAAGCAACACAAATCCATCAATTAAAGCAGCAAATATACTTACATGTTCCATCTTACCTGTTGCTTTTAAGGGGAAGTAGCAAGCCAGATAGAGATCAGCAAGCACCCAGTCGTTTGCACGATCCAACAGAAGCAGGTCAATTCTGGATTTGACTGATTCTGCAGTGAGCAGCTGTGGAAAAGAAAGTAAAGTTAGCCAATGCAGAAGATCTATGGTGGGATTTTGTAGTTTTGACATACCTCAAAAACAGCGTCCTTGGCAGTGTATGGCAGAATGAGGCTGAGGTGTGTGCCGTTCTCATAGAAATTGTAGTCTTCAGCCATCTCAGCCGTCAGCTCTCGAGGTCCAACGATAGCCTTGAAATTAGAGCCGTGACTCCCGAACTTCACGCTGATGTAAAACTGATTCTGGTCACAGGTGCCAGCCATGATGGGTAGCACTAGAGCAGCAAAACAGGCATTATCCATTTGATTGTGTAGCTCTTACTCCAATATGTTTTATTTAATTTTAGAAAACACAATTTGCATGAAGATATTGTCAAAAGCAAATTCAATATGATCTCACCAACATCCTGCAGAGAGGCCTGCAGGTCGACCGGGAGAGCAAAAGGAGTTTCTTCAGGCAGGACGATCAACCCAAAGATCAGAGGGAGGAAGTAGGATGTAACCAAGCGCTCAGGATTCTGCAACAAATGAAATAAAATCTCAGCAACACTGAAAATATGCTGGTACAAAGTGATATTTTGAATCTATAATGTCATACATGTTTTAAGACAACATTGGCATCAAAGGGCACTTGAAGAGCGAAGCTCTTGGAGCCATTAGCCAAGCTGTGTTCCTGGACTGTGAAGCCTTTGGCATTGCTCTCCTCAACAGTGAGGACCCCGGTGGAGAAGGTGATGTTCCTCAGCTCAACGTCATGGAGGAAGGTTCCCAAGAGAACGCTGAACACCCGAGTCTCTGGGACAGTGTCTGAGGAACAGAAAGTGGCAGGTTTAAAACTTCTAAACCAGCCTCAACATTGATAGAGAAAAATTGAGTAGTTGGATTGAGTGCTATTTAAAAAAACAAAAAAAAATGCCCTTTGTAAGCAAAAGTAGATTTTGTACTTTGCTTCAAATCCCATCCAAACACACCATTTTGCAAAAACTGAAGACTTTATTTAATGTGTTTAGCAGTCTTTAGGATATATCCGAGCAAGCCCAAGTTCAAATGTCATTTTTTTTCCATACCTACTAGAAAATGTGACTTACCATCCTGGATTTGGGGAGATTGAGGCATCAGAGGGGTCATGATGGGGAACAAAACCTTGTATCTGGTATCATCTTGGGTGTCATCTTCTCTCCACAGTACCTCAAGCATGGGCTCCACAAAGTAGGTGATGTGGTACTGGTAATCTGGGGCATGGCTCTGCAATAATTCATGACATTTCAATAAAACATGCAAATGCACTAGTGACTCTTGCATTTCTAATCTAGAGATTTCCCCAACCTTGTAGTAACCATCAGGCGAGCCCACTGGGATCTCGACGACGATGTGGAAGTCTGTGGTGCTCAGTGTGTACCCCCGTGCGGCCATCTGAGATCTATCAAGCCTCTGCCCGTTGATTCCCATGTGCATTTCTGAGACTGTAATTCTGCCGTCCAACAGAGGAGTCACACGGCGAGGTACGTGCCAAGAGATCATATCCTCGGTGAAGAGGACGCCACCTGTTAATGACAAAATGGAGCTGTTGAGGTTAACTGTGCAACAATTAAGCTTACTGTGAAGGAAATATGTTGCTCAGGACTCACCTTTGGGACAAGCAGCTGCCAAGTTCACTACATTCAGACCCTGTGGTGCCATGTAGTAGGCGCTCACCCTGAAAACTTCCATGGGCACTCCAGCCACCTAAAGAGAGGAGAGGTTTAATATAATTGACAAGGAGGGAAAGGAAAGAAACACTGTATAGTAGTGTGTTGCTTACATCCTCTGAATAAGTCTCTGCTGTATTGTACGGGCTTCGCATAACCAGGCGACTAGAGGTAGTTTTGGCAGCGTAGCCGGCTTGTTCAGCCTCTTGCAACACCATGGCCACTGGTTCTGGGGTGTAAAACGTCATCTTCCAGATACCTTGTGATGCACCAGAGGCCTACAGGAAAGAACAAATAATAATTAAATCCTCATTGGTGTAGGGAGGAATTAAACTGTAGTATCTTAACGGTTTAATTCGACATACTTCAAGATTGGCGTTGAGCTTCTTGTCTTTACCATCCCAAGTCTGACCCTTAGCATCAAGGTTAGCCATGTGGTGCGAAACCTAAAACAGAAAATGGTGGTTTTAGCATTCGTTTCCATACACACAAGATGGTGGACTCATCAATGTAAAGATGACCTACTTCCATGTAGTTCCTGTCGCAGAGGATCTCCCTGGAGGCCCAGCGAGTGTACCTGCAAGTCTGAGACACGTCATGACTGACCACGTCTGATGGATTCTCGCCGTACATCTTGAGTCTCAAGCCAACGTTAAATGTAGCATCATCCTATAAATATAAAAAAAACTAAATTAAGTGAAACTCCCTAATATTCTTTGGTTCCAGCTTCTTTGTCATTGAAAATGTAATATCCTTGCCTTCAGAGACACATTTGAAGTCTAAATGGATATTTGTGTATGTAACAAACAAGTCAAGAAAGTACCTAGTAGATTAATTGAGGAATACAGTTTTGAGTGGAGCAGTGCTAATATTTTAGGGATGTACCAAACAAAAAAGGGAAATGTACTTTGGGTCTTTTAACGGTAAGGGGTTACAAATAAATTCAGGGAAACACAAAAATGGGAGCAACCATGTGTTTGTTGAGCCATTAATTCAGTCACTTGACAGAATTAGCACAGCTAAACTTGGTAGAAAATTACATTGAATGCTTTTAAACCACTTTAGCTCAAAACAAACCTTGTTGTCCACAAAGCAGCCCATCAGGGAGGTGTAGATTCTGGTGTTACCCCACGGGTCAGACTCCATGCTGTATCCACACTGAGCAGCCATGCTAGGTGTTAACAAAATGTGCTTGGTGCCATCTGAGGGGAGAAAATAAGCTTTGTCAGGGACCCCTTTCCTCAGTGATGAACCAATCAGCTGCATTATTAGCAGTTAATACTTACTGATAGCCTCCACCTCAAGCTGGTTTCCCACTGCTAAAGCCTTGTCCAACGACAGTCTCATTACATTTGCGGCACAGTCAGACCTTAACCCACTGCCTGTTAAAAGAAAAGGCTTGTGAGGAGAATGTAAACCGACTTAATATGCTGTTTAAAATGACTTAATGAGAATTGAAGCTTACTTGACTGCGAATTTAGCTTCACATTAGGCCTGGCTTGACACAAGATGATAGCTGCAGCCATCCATAACAAACTTGAACACATAAAACACATCATTTAGAGACAATTAAGTACACACATAGAAATAAATCTACAAGAAATGTAACTTACATGTTCCCAAGCCTCAGCATGTTGCAGTTTGTAAGCAGCAAAACCAAAAAGAATACAGTCAGTATCAAAGCTTGGCAATGTCCAGCACACCTTCCAACAAAAACACAAGTCTAAAAGGAAGGGGACTGGATGATTAACTGAGACATCAGCAGCTGCTTTATATTCCACTTAACGACAAAGCACAGGTGAGGCTTGTTAAGGATTCTCCACTCACACACACACACACACACACACACACACACACACACACACACACACACACACACACACACACACACACACACGCACACACACACACACGCACACACACACACACACACACACACACACACACACACACACACACACACACACACACACACACACACACACACACACACACACAGGGTGAGCTGATGTATGCCTAGTTTATTAAGAACATATTGTAAAAACATATGTATGGAAAGGAAAAACACACATTTTTCAGTAGTGTAAAAAAAAGTATTTATTGTTCAGAAAAAGTAGATTTGTATTTGATATTATACATATATTACTTTTTTATATTTGAAGAAGCAACAAAATAATCCACAGTTAATAATAAATTAAACTTTTCCTTAAAATCACATGTGCTTTTGATTTTTCCTTTGAGCCTCCTTATAATGACTGTAATCTAACACTTGATTATTGTTTGTATATATTCTCAAACCACTAAGGATGCACTAACATTTATTACAGACCGTAAAACCCGAGCTTATCGTTTCACCCGGGTCGATTTTTCTGCTCTGTCCAATTATGCAATGATATATGTTCATTTATGAGGCCATAACAATATGTTCCAACTGGAAGAGTGTTGAGTCAGTGCAGAAGAAGGAATAATCAATGCTCTGCTTAACAAAAACCATATCAAAATGTTGCACCCATCCCTGTGGGATTTCTACTTGGTTTCATAGGTTCAAACTGAATGTTTTTGCAGCAATAGTTTTATTTTCATTGTTTCTGTGATGAACAACACGTTATTCAGACACAAATTACGTCTCCTATGTACCGTGGTAAGGTTGACATCGAACTAAAATCACATGTTGATCAAAAAAAGCCAATACGTGCTGTCCTCCGAGCTGGACACATTAAATTGGTCACTTTCAGCAGCCGGAGAAGAAACAAGTGCTCAGGGACCGTCTGCAAAGTTCTCCGAAAAAAGAAAATACAATAATATTCAATCACTTCACTATTATACAGTATATTTCAACCAAACTCACTACACACATCAATAGTCTCCTGGTGGTCAGAATACAGCAGAGAGTTTGGAAGAATATGGTTTTGAATAATTTTGGTGAATATTTATATGTAACATCTTCAATATGATATAATATTCAATAACGTTACTATTATACAGTGGAGTGCTACCAAACTCACTACACACATCAATAGTCTCCTGGTGGTCAGACTACTTTAGAGAGTTTTGAAGAATATGGTTTTAAATAATTTTGGTAAATATCTATAGTATAAAATCTTCAATAAATATGGTATAATCTTCAATAACGTCACTATTATACAGTGGAGTGCTACCAAACTCACTACAAACATCAATAGTCTCCTGGTGGTCATACTACAGCAGAGAGTTTGGAAGAGTATGGTTTTGAATAATTTTGGGGAAGATTTATAATGTATTATAACATACTGTATAATGTTACACATTTATACAGTATGTTATATATAAATTAAGACATGAAACAACTTTTTCATTAGCTATGAAACAGTAAAATGGTCACAATCTCATGAAAGACCCAAATGCAGCACTCGAGAAACCAAGGAGTATTGGTAATGAACTTTATTGGTAATAATACCAGAGCAGAGGGATACCAGCAGAATAGTATCAGCCGGATGATGTGCAGGCAAACGAACCAGAGGACAGCGGGCAGAAGGTGAGACAGGGCCGGGCAGAGGGTCAGGGAGCAGGCGAGGCGGTCAACGGAGGTACAGGCAGGGTCAGAGAGCAGGCAAGGCAGGATAGTCCAAGGACAGGCAGGATCAGGGATCAGGCAGAGCAGGCAGTTCGGGGACAGGCAGGGTCGGAACCGGGTAGGCAATCTGATGACAAACATGTGAAAGACTAGCATGAAGGCAAAGTACGATCTGGCAACGGGTGTGTGTCTGGTGAGGGTTCAAATACTGGCAGTAAAGCTAATGGGTGCAGAAGAGAAAGACAGTGAGCAAAAACGTGGGTGTGGTTAACAGGTGAGACAGGTGAATGGAAAACTACTGGACTGTGACAAAATAAAGTTAACATTGAAAAATAAAACATTTCAGGCTTTTCACCTATCTTACTGTACAATATTAATCAACAAATCTACAATCTAATGTCAGACATGGAAAACATCATGAACATCTGTGACTACTTTAATCTGTAATTGAAAATATATTTAACATCTTAATTAAGAATATAACAATTTAAAACTATGGATTATTATCATTACTTCAGTTGCCCAAAATCTTTAGCAAAGCTTTTTTCTGGATTTTTGTTTGTTTTTTTACAAAATTCAGCTGGATTTCCCCCACATGCCGTTTGTAAGCGCACTACTTCTACTGTGGTAGTAGTTCAAACTAAAAGCCTTACCTCCCCAAATCCTGGTACCTCTGGTAAAAGTTACACAAACTCACCTATAGCCTCTTTAGTTTGGGAGGATACACAAAACACAATACCACGGGGTCTTTTTTTGGGGTATTCGTGCAGCAGTCATTCCGAGGCACTGCGTTTGAAACTTTAACAAATTCTAAGAAAAATAAAAGTAATGCATAAAAATATACAAAATGTCATTACTTGTATGTTATTCCTGAAATCTAACTCCAGATGATCTATATATTATCTACTATTCAGATTATCTTCTGGAGTTTCAAAACAATTCATCATGTAGTCTCACCCAAACAGCATCAACAGCAGTTGTGGGCAGGTCCTCAATTCCACAGAAGGAACAGAAGTCATCCTTTGAAACTGAAAAAATAACCGGTGTATTACTGTTCAATTTACAGGAAGCCATACATATTTTCATTTCATATTTTTGGCTAATACCTGATCCTTTGAGAATTTCTTCTGCCATGTCTCTTCGTATACTGTATGTTGAAGACATTGTTTTGATGACTTGATGTGAAACGTCTGTGGAATTTTCGGAAATTCCTTCATTGTCATCTTGGCCATCTGGACAGATGGTAAAATAACATGACGTTATGACGTGTGTTTGAATTTCCCTTTAAAATAAAATGCTTTATTATTAATGAACACAACATGTTGCATTGAATCACCTGCATGACAAAGGCTCCACAACTGGTGGCATATTTCTGGAAGGTGTGGGTTATCTTTCCAGGCTGCCATTTGATGTTAACCCAGTCCTCTTTTTCCAGTCTGTTCCGGCGCATCTTGAAATACTCTCTAGAGAACAATAGGGAAAAAAATGTAATTGGCGCTTACTCTTTGCCTTTACCAAATGTGCGTTTAACCAATGTATTTCCAAATTTGTAACCAGCCTTTCTGGAGTCCTCAACTTCATTTGACCCTTGCAGAGGATAAACCACATACATGTGGTTTGAAAGGGCATGGAGGTACTGTTTTAAAAAGTAGCATACGGTAGAATTAAACCAAACCTTTTTCAATATGTCAGCAGCAACAATAATGTATCAGCTTTTCTTCAAAAATGAAAACCACAGTTAACTAATATTCACATTATTAAAATCAGTTCAACTGTTAAACAAGCTATTAAAAGTAATACTAAAATAATAACTACCCATTTTAAATGAGTATAATTAAGACTTAAAAGTATTGAAATAATTAAACATGTCAGATCAGATGAAAGAAAGTTGCACAATTTGGGGTCAGAAGACTAACATCTTTAGTGGAGCAGTAGCGACCACCAATGAGAAATGGTTGAATGAGTACTTATTTTGGACTACATTTTATATTGTTTCCCTATGATAGAGATGAAGAACATGAAGACATTAAAACTAAAAGAAGCATTTTTAAATTAGTCCTGAGGCAAAGATGCATTTACAAAATGGGGCTGCATGAGATACACATTTTAGTCTTAACTCTGTCACAGTATATGAGTAATGTATTACAATATTTTTTATAACAATGAATATTTAGTTGTATGCATTTGAATAAATGTAATCATACATCTTCAAAGTAATAGTTGATAGTTGACTTCAAATGTGCAAACCCTGAGCAAAACATACATGCTGTAAAAGCAGCTACAGTATGACAACACGAGTAGCTGTATACTCGTCACCACAAACTTCCAGTGCACATTTCTTATATTCATAAATCCAATGGCTCCATCATATAGATCAAATGTGACCTGAACAAATTAGGGAATATGTACACATAAGTGTTATTTTCTATAATATACAGGTGCAAAACAATAATTTAATTTACACAGTATTCATTTTTTATTTTTCTCAACAGGAACAAGAAAAAAAGGGAAGCTTATATTCTAAATGTATTGATTAAAAACAACACAAATGTCTACAATAGTAAAGGGATGAAAATACTTTGAATAATCAGTTTCACTCACCTTTTTTAGCTCTTGCCTGGCCATCTGCTCTCGGGTGCCGTGTAGGATTACACCCATGGTGTAGTGATCCAGGAGGTATAGACGGCCAGCATTATCCTTCAGGTTGAGGATGCCTCTAATGTAACATTCGATTACCTTTTGGATAAACTGTAGGGGAAATAATCATACAAAATGCCAGCTAATATAGAGGCCAAAGTCGGTTTTAATCACATCATTGTCAGATCATTTTAGAATGGATCAATTATGCAAAACCTTTGCTAAAACTGGTCTATCTAAAGTCACACTCCAGATGGACTGGCCTAACAATTTACTTGGATATCATTTTGTGTAGCACAAATTACATATTTGTTGTCAACAATTGAATCATTAACATATGGCTTATGTGAGATGAGCAGTCCGGGACAGCATAAGTTTTAATAAATACTTGCCTCGCCTATGATGAGTTCGTCAGGTCTCAAACTCTGAAATTCTCTGTGCCTCAGGGTGAAATGATGCTTCTCTTCAGCATGTCTTACAACATTTTCAACAA